TCACTTCCTGAAGGCTCTACAACCTTTCAAAACAGCGCCACCTGCTGGGAACCACCTGTTCAAACACATGAGCCAATGGAGGACATCCCACTAAGAACATGGTGAGGGCGGTCCTTAAGCCTTCAGATTCACAGATGGGATCCAGCCATGGGCTTTCGAGTACACTCTGCTATAGTTTCATTTCTGTTTCTGAGATAAAATATCTAACCCTATTCCCACACAGAAACACAAAAGGAAAAAAGCAACCCAGGAAAGAAAGGACTTACTGACTTTTTTGACTTACAGTTTTGGCTATTGTTCATCACTGAGGGGGAGTCAAGGCAGGGACTTGAAGCATCACGTCCACAGACAAGTCAGCGAGGGAATAATCCCACAGATCTCAGCTCGCTTCCTTCTCTCTCACACTGTTCAGGACCCCTTGCCGAGGGAATTGTGCCACCCACAGTGGACTGGGTCTTCCTACATCGATTGAGAATCACAACAATCCCCCACAGACATGCACGCTGGCCAACCTGACGTAGATAAATCCTCACACCATTCCCAGGTGACTCTATCCTGTGTCGAGTTGACATTTAAAACTGAACAGACTCTTACATGGAGTCACCTGTTTATGCTCCTGCTGCCTGCTGCCCAGTCCCCCTCCAAAGGGAGTGTTGCATTTCCCTCCACTGCCAGGTGGTCACAACCTACGAAGGAACAAGATGCATTCCTTAGAGCCACCCAGGTTCCCAGTGGCATCCCACACATGTCCCTTTACCCAGCTCTTCAGAGATGGGCTTGTCTCATGATACGCATTGCTGGCTTCCAAAAAGGAATTTAGATCTCAGATCTTGAGAGAGGCAGGAACCCAGAGCCCCTGGCGCATCTGTGAGCCTGTCAGACACCAGCTGTCTCCCTTACTAAACATGGGTGTGCGATGGAGTGGATCAGCACGCAGTGCTCTCCGGGCCTCCTGGGCCTGGGAACGCCCTCCCCCAGACACCTCCACACTACCAGCCTCAGCATCTTTCTTTGCCGTCCTCTCTCTCCTCAGTGTTCAGTGCTGAAAGAAGAGCTGAGGAAGGAAGAGGCCCAGAAGGAGTGCAGGGAGGCTCAGGAGAAGGAGTTGAAACTCTGCAGAAGTGTGAGTTGAATGGCCTCATCAGGAAGCACACCTCTGAGAGCCTGAGCTCCACGTTCATGGCGGGACCCGCGGCCCACCAGGAGATGGCTCTGAGCTGTTTGGAGGAAGCCATGGAGCTCTCTCCAGGGCTCTCTGATCAGTTGGCTCTCTTTCTCATGGGTTTCCTCTGGGGCTGGGCAGGGGCACGGATGGGGACAGGAGCAATGAAAGTTCCTTCAAGTTCCCCGCCCTGGGCCTATGCTCACCTAAGCCCAAATGTGGTCACAGCCATAGGCAGTGTTGTGACACCTTAATGAACCCCAGGAATAGGGAGTCCTTCCATTTAGGAGGTAACTCTTGCCACGCCCAAGCAAGCTTAACTTCTCTGTGGTTGGATTTGATTTTCAGCAAATGGAAGACATGGAGAAAGAATTGAAGAAGCTCAGGGAGGAACTGAAGAAGAACAGTTCCAGTCAGAGTACCAACTCCAAGACGCTACGAGAAAAGAGTAAGGTGCGTGGTTCAGGGAAGCTTGTGGCCATGACCACAGGCGACAGGGCGCACAGGGTGCAGCATCCCGCTCAGCCGCACAGCGCCTCCGTGTGGCCGATGCCCGCATCTGCCGCTGCTCACCATGGGAGGAAGTAGCCCTGAGCAGGAAGTGCAGAATAACTCGGGCCCCTCCTGCAGATCCTAACAGGTCTGGGGGGATGCTCAGTGTTGAAAGTGGCTACTGTGCAAGCATGGAGAGCTGAGTTTAGAGCCCTAGAAACAAGCTAGGAGAATCGATGAGCTCCAGGTTCAATGAGAAACTCTGTCTCAAAAAAAAAAAAAAAAAAAAAAGGGGAGAGCAATAAAGACGCTCAGAATCAGCCAAAATCCCACGGCGGTGGGAGGGGCTCATTGACCTTCGAGGGCTGCTGGGAGAGAAGAGTCAGTTTTCTTCAAGGATGCAGGCCCTGGGATGCTGTCCATGCCCCAGCAGGTGGCCCCACAGCCATGCATATATTGGCTAAATGGCCTCAGTAGGGTTTTCAAAAGCGCATATAAAGCCAAGAGGGAAAGAACAGATCCTGGAAAGATGGCTCAGCGATTAAGAGCACTGGCTGCTCTTGCAGAGGACCCCCGGCTCCAGTTCCCAGCACCCACATGGTGCTCACAGCCATCTGTAACTCCAGTTTCAAGGGATCTGACACCCTCTTCTGAGTTCTGCAGGCACTCGGCATACACAGGAAAACTCTCATACATATAAAACAAGAAAAAAATAAAGTGTGTGTGGGGGGGATAGGGAAGGAACTGGAGAGAAGAGAATAGGGGCATGGATTTGATCAGAACACATTGTGTCTGTGCATGAAATCCAAACAATAAAAAGAAAAGGCAATTGGAAGGAAAGAAAAGAAATCTCTGCCCCCCCCCCATATGTGCAAGTGAGTCCAGGGGCCCTTGGAAACCAGAGGAGGTGTGGGATCTCCTGGGCTGGAGTTACATGTGGTGGTGAACTGCCTGTCATGGCTGCTGAGATCTGAACCCAGGTCACCAGGCCCTTTGGGCACCTGCACCCATGTGCATACACCCACATAAAATTAATGTTTTTTAAATGACAGAGACCAGAAAAACTATCTATGAAATTTGGCCAGAAAAGAATGCATCCAGAAAATAATGATTCCAAGACAATGGAAATGGAAACATTTTGTAATGTGCTCAGTGGACTTCACTATACAAAATATCTTTTCAGTGAAAATGGGTTGACTTGCTGGGTGATGGTGGTGCACGCCTTTAATCCCAGCACTCAGGAGGCAGAGACAGTCGGATCTCTGTGAGTTCGAGACCGGCCTGGCCTACAAGAGCTAGTTCCAGGACAGCCTCCAAAGCCACAGAGAAACCTTGCCTCAAAAAAAAAAAAAAAAAACCCAAGGAAAAAAGAAAGAAAGAAGGAAGGAAGGAAGGAAGGAAGGAAGGAAGGAAGAAACAAAGAAAGAAAATGGGTTGACTTTGGCTTATCTCTTCATCAAAATTATTGTAGTCATGGTAACAGAACCAAGCTGCTTTCTGGACCATACATTTCCCTCTAATAGGGCTTTCACTGCAACCACACACATTCTAGGATGTTTTCCACTGTTACTCAGAACCCAGTCTTTTCCAGTGCCCACTGTTATTTCTTCTTGGGCATACGGAGTAATTGGGGTTATTTTCTGATATCTGAATACATGAGGATTTCTTGAATACCTTTTGGTTATTGGTTTCTAGACTGATTACATCATACACAGAGGTCTTGCTCTAGGTGATCTTAGCCCCCTGGTATTGACTGAGGGTTTCTTGGTGGTCTGCATGTTGTCTATGCTTGCTTCACATGTGCCTACAAGAAGAACATACATTCTGCAGAGAACACAGTGTTCTACATGTGTCTTTTGGGTCAATTTTGACCATTGTGATGGTTAGCTTTTACCTGTCAGTTTGCCAGCTCCTAGGATCACCAGAAAAGAGAGCCTTAGTTGAGGAATTGTCTAGATTTGGCTAGTGTGCGGGGGTTATCTTGATTGTTAATTGGTATGACTTCTCACCAGCCAGCCCACTGTGGGTGACACCATTCCCTAGGTTGGTCCCTGAACTGTATAGAGAGAGGGAAATGTGACTCTAGAGAGATGGCTCAGAGGCAAACAGTTCTTACTGCTCTTTCAGAGGACTTGGGTTTAATTCCCAGTACCCATGTCAGGTGGCTCACCACCATCTGTGACTCCAGCTCCAGGAATATCCGACTCCTCTATCCTCCAAGGCACCTGCACTCATGTGCTCACACCCACCCCACCACCACCACACATGTATTTTAAAAAGAAAACTTTTTCAGAGAAACCTAGCTGAGTACCAAGCATCAGTGGCAGCATGCCTGCATTCACGTTTCTCTGTCTTTGACTGTGGATATGTTGTGGCTAGCTGCTTGGGTTCTTGCTTTGACCTCCCTCCATGATGAGCTATAACGAGGAAATGTAAGCCAAGTAAATCCCTGTTGCCCCACGCTGCTTCATTTGGGGCACTATTTTGGTTTTTAAAGTAATTATTTTAAGAGTATGGGTGTCTTGCCTGCCTGTGTGTCTGTGCACCGTGTGTGTGCAGTGCCCAGGGAGTCCAGAAGAAGAACTTGGATCCCCTGGAACAGGGGTTACAGATGGTTGTGAGCCTCCCTGTGTGTGCTGGGAGTTGAACCCCAGTCTCTGGACGAGCAGCCAGTGCTCTTAAGCACTGAGCCATCTCCTGTCCCCTGTCAAGATATTTATCACAGCAACAGAAATGAAACTAAGATACCAATGACAACATCCAAAATGTCGAGGGTTTTGCTGATTTTCTTGTCTATATATTCTATCAGTCATCTAGAATGGCATTTTTAAAAAATCCCATGAAGACTGAAGACTTGTCCATTTCCTCTTTTAGAACTGCCAATTCTTTGAAGTCATGTAAGTAGGTGCATATAAATTTATCTTAACACTTCCTACTGGATCAAACCTTGTGCCATTAAGAGATAACGAAATGGGATTTTCCACTTTGTCACTGACAGAGCTCCACCAAATACTCTAGCTTTCTTCTGATTGGACTTCCCTAACATTTTGGCATAGTTTTCTTTCTGTCAATTTTAAGATTAGACATAGCTCATAACAGCATAGGGTTGCCATAAAAATCCAATTTGTCAGTCTTTGCCTTTTTACCCATTGATATATATAATGTAATTGTTGGTGTATTGGGGCTTAAACTTACATTTTTGCTCATTATCAATTGTACCACCTGTTTATGCTACACTTCTTTCAAACAAACAAACCAAGGTCTCACTATGCAGCCCTGGCTGTCTTGGAACTCAATACGTAGATCAGGCTGGCCTGGAACTCACAGATACACACCACCACTGCCACCACCACCAGCACCTCTGCCTCTGTCTCACAAGTGTTAGAATTAAAGGCATGCAACATCATGCTCACCTCTTTCTGATAATTTTCACTGGTTTATTTTCCCCATGTATTCACTTGGCATTTTCTCACTTGGTTCTCCTCCCAGTAGCACAAAAGACTTGTATCTTTCCACAGTCCAATACTGATTGAGTTTTACTCTTTTGATATCTTTTCACAGTTATCCAAAAAAGGTGCTTTTAGTTTATCAAAAGTCAGTGTCCAGGGGTGATTTTGCCCTGCTCCTGGATGACACAGTGCTTGCCAACGCCAACTCTTTAGCGTCACTGGTGACACACTGTAATTGCTACCTAACCCTTCCTCTACACACTGACATCCTAAAGACATCCCAAGTGCTCCTGCACATTCTGTGTTCACACCCGCAGGAGCCGTGCCTTCTCTACATCCCTGGGTATCCATCCAGGGTCCTTCTTCTTCTGCCTGAAATATATCCCGAAGGATTCAGGCTCTACTGATAACAAAGTCTCTCAGAGGTGTGTGTGTGTGTTCATGTTTTACCCTTCTTTCTGGGAACATATTTTGACTTTACAGTGACTTCTCCTTTGACAGTGATTTTCTGTCTGTAGACCTATTATTTCCCAACTGTAAGTCTAACTATTACATAATTACTATTACTATGCGATGGTTATTATGTAATCGGTTTTTCCTTGCCTTTTTTTTTTTTTTTTTTTTGAGATTGCCTTTCCCTTTGACTCACAGCTAATGTGCAACAACTTCTCCTGGGGGGAGCTCATTTTCCTTACTCTGTTCACATTCCCGGGGGCTTCTTGCATCTTAGACTTGATGGCTGTATTTATTTTGGTTTGGTTTTTCATGAAGTTTGGAGCTTGGGCTGTGTACCAGAGGCAGAGAAGAGTTCCTAGAAGGCTCTGACCCAGGCAGTGACTGGTAGAGAGCGAGCTTCATCTGGCATTGCAGCATACATTCTGTCTTTTCACTTAGCTCACTCTGAGATCTGGCAGCCGTTGTGTCCATGTGACAGATGAGGGACTGAGGGCTGAGGAGGCATCTCAGAGCAGAATAGCTCATGTGAAATCGTGTACTATGCACAGCCACTTGTCATGTGTGACTATTGAAACTGAAGTCAAATTCATTTTAAAATCCTATCCCTCTATATTCACATTTAAAAATAAAATGTTATCTTTAAATTCAATTGAAAATCCACATCTTCCACTGAGCAAGGGTGTATCCAATGTCCCTAATCACAAGACACACATAGCCAGACATGGCCAGTGGCCACTGCACCAGGCAGCCCAGGTCATCCAGGCCTCATGGAAGGAAGCTGCTTCAGACACCGTTGATCACATCTGGGTGACTCTCACTCAGCAGTTCCCTGAAGAATGCACTAGAAGTAACTAAATTGAAGGCAAGGGTGACCATGAATCTCAGGCCTGAGGCTGTGTACAGGGTAGGGATCTGATAAGCCTCTTAGGACTAAATGTACCCCTAAGTACTCTCCCTGTGCCAGTGATGGTGGGCCAGGGCAGGCAAGGCACTCGGGAGCCAGGCAGAGCTGGGCTGTGGCTGAGGCCGGCTCTGGGGCTTTGGGCTGGGGAACAGGGAGAGCCATGAAGACCAAAGCTATGAGCAGGCTTCCCAAGCAGCCTCAGTCTAAGAGTCTCTTTGCTGCTCCACAGAGCTCTGAAGAAAGTTCTGATGGGTTTGGGGTGTCTGATATTGGTGTACCCCTCTCCAGACCCCAATAAGAGGCTTGTGAGACTGCTTCACCATGAAACCCCTTCTCTTTGGGGGGGCAACTCCACCTCCATTCCACACTAGAGCCAAGGTCCCCATGGAAGGGGAAGGAGCTGACGTGGGAGTGGGCAAAAGAGGGCAACGAGGCATAAGAATGCATTGTATACACTACGTTCTACTAATTTGAAGTAGTGTGAAAAGAGATGCAGCCATACCCACAATGGCCAGCAGAGGGCAGAATCGAGCATTCTCGGGCTTACAGGGAGGGAGTAAGTAGCCATGCACCTGTCCCTATCCCTTTTAAATGCCTCTGCAAGTTCCAGTTTTTGTTGTTGTTGTTGTTGTTTTGTTCTCAAATTCTTGCTTGACTGGTCTCATGCGGTCCCCACTGGGTCAGGAAATTATTCCTAATAACTGTATTTACCAAGCCCCCTGTGGACAGGTTACTTGGGGTGTCAGAATAATGGTGAGTGGTTTTCTTCCAGCTTTATAAGTGGCAGCACACCCTGATACACATACCATGGCTACTCCAAACACTCTTAACCCCACAGAAACCCTTCAAGGCAGTCCTGGTAACACCCCCACCCCCAGGGAACACTGACTCACAGACCAGCAAAATAACTCTCTGAAGTCACATGACTTATTAAGGGCTGCACTCGAATTCAGGCCTGGGGTAGGACTAGCGTGGTTGCACCTAGGGAGTGAAGCCTGGCCCTTGGCCCCAGGGGACAGTGCCTTGTAAGCCTGCTTCCACACAGTGCTCACATAGGCTGCAGCTACCCTGTGTCTCTCTGGGACCCCCCACCTCCACAATGGCCATTGGCTATCCTGGAGGGGTCTCCCTAGACAGCCTCATGACCACATTAGTGGCAGACAGCCCTTGCTTTCATCATTGTTTCAGGTTGAAGAGAAGCTTCAGGAAGATTCCAGAAGGAAATTGCTTCAGCTGCAAGAAATGGGGAACAGAGAGACCCTCATTAAAACCAATTTGGAAAGGGCAGTAGGCCAGGTAGGAGTGCCCCACAGCCCTCCTTGTTGGGCCATGTGCCCCTGGGGGTCTCCTACACCTAGGCAGCCAAGTTTGGTGTCAGGGTGTGGTGGGGTGCAGTGGAGTGCGGTGTGGTGCCTAAGGAAGACGTCAGGGCCATTCCATCCATCTTCCCCAGTGGTGTGCAGTGACCCAAGAGCCTGGCCAGGCAGCCAACCCCGCCCTGAGCCCCCTTGTCCTGTATCCATCACCTCACTCCACCCCACCCGGTCTCCCTCTCTGGGGTGTTTATAGAACTTTCTCCGGATATTTTCAGTTGCTGACATTTACCCTGGACTTCCTACCCCCCGGGATCCCCAGCAGATTCATGGTGGCCTTAAGGAAATGGCTTTCTTTTTTAAAAAGTAAGCCCTGAGTGTCCGAAGTCCACACTAGACAGAGAAGATCCCAGGCAGGGTTGTGAGAGAGTCTTTGCCTGGCTGGCCAGGAAAGGCTGTCTCCATTGCTCTGGCTCAAGATGGCCAGTGGGCCTTCCACTGTACAGGGCTCTACTGTGAAAGTTATAAAATGTCTTCAGACTTTACCAAGGGCTTGGGGAGAGCCAATGAAAAGCCAAGAGTGGAGGCCTAAGCCACCCAGGACAGTCACCCAGAATTCTCTGTGGGAAACTCTCCTGATGCCACACCTGGCTCCAGACAGGCTTTGTGTTCTGAGGTGTTTTGCTCTTGTGTCTGGGAGGAGGGTCTACTGTAGCACTTAGCTGGGTCTCAGAAGGGCTAGGAGCCACCCCCAAAAGGCTAAGAACCATAATTCCATGTTGTCCAGCACCAAGTCCATAATGTTTCTATTTACTATCATCCAAGCTGTATCCAGGGCTTGGTCCCCTCACACAGGACATATAGAGGCACACTCCATTAAATGATGCTAATCACTGAACAGCTGTTATAACCCTTCATCAAATAACCCATCACATCTGTGATTTCTCTAGTAGGTCCTCAGTCCTTTGTCCCATCATACAGACTTGCCACTCTATGTCACAACTCCCTCCAAAATACACCTGATCTGAGGGCATGGCCTGTTGCTGGAGTTTTCTGTCCCAGCTGGTCCCGCGGCCCTTGAGCCCCAAATAAACACACAGTTGCTATATTAATTATAAATCTGTTGGCTAATGACATTGGCTAGCTCTGTCTTAATTATTAACCCATTCCTATCAATCTATGTATTGCCACGAGGCTGTGGCTTACCTGATAATGCCCCAGCATGTTGTTACTCCTTTGGTAGCATGTTGACTCTGGTGAGGGCCTGCCTACCTTTTCCAGAATTCTCCTCATCTCCTAGGCCTGCCTATCTTCCTGCCTCAGTGTTTTATTCATCAACCAATAAGAGAAACATACATACAGAAGGACGTCCTCATCAATGGCCTGTGCTCCTTGCCTAAAGGCCTTCACCTCAGCTCCAAGCTGGGTCACCTACAGGATCCCGAGACTGCTCCATGCATAGATTCCAGGGGGCGGGAATCAGTCTTCCTCCCTCCTCCTGGTCTTCTCACTGTGCCTTTACCTCAAGGCCCTGCCTACCTGACATCTCAGCACAGCTCAGTGATGCCAGCACCCAGCACACCGTCCAAGCACCTGTCAGTCACCATATCCCCCTCACCGTAGACAGTCATTCCCAGGGACAGTCCCTCCAGTGGCACCAGGGGACCCTTACATGCAGAGTGGAATTCCCCACACTACCAACTTCTTGCCCAGCTTGACCCCTCCGTTGGCCAGGAAAGCTTGGAGCTCCTGGCTTGAAGGTCTTTGCTACTGTCACCATGTCTGGCTTACTGGAGTCCAGAGGTCTATGAACTCCTTGACTCTGGCTTCATCTGGTGGCCCTCCATGTTCCCTTGGGGATGTATGTTGGTCTATAATACCCTCATCTGTCCAACTGACCAGAGATGGAGACCATGAGCTGCCATGGGAGTAAATTCTTAACCAGGTTTCTTAGCCTCCACTTCCTGATGAAGTCAGGGGCGCCTTAGGTTTGGGATTCTCCAGGTTCTAACTTTACATGCAGGGCCATCGCCTCCACACAAAGCTGAAAACTCCAGCCCATGGGAGGCACTGGGTACCAGCTACCGGCCTGACCTCTATGTTTGCATATCTGAGTGCCCAGGAAACACCCACTGAGAGCCCATTCTGTGCCTGCACTGCTCGGACTCTAGGGACATAGAATGAATTACAATTGGCAGAGGCTTTGGGACAGAGGAGACAGAAGCTGCTTTCTCCTCTCCCATTGCCATTGCTGGTTACAAATGTATTTGGGTTGACAGTCTTGGTATTTATTCCACAACCTAGCAATTATGAGAAGGCACTCCTGGCCCAGGCTTCCCATTGGATAATTGACAACAAGAGACTCTTTGGAGACTCATGTCAAGCCTGAGACATGTGTACAGGGACCGTGTGCCTGGGTAGGGCTGGGCATTAAGACATACTTGAAGCCGGCTGCTCCATTCTGTCTACAGCTCTGCACCCCAGTGATTCATAACCCTGAATGTAATTCAGGCATGTGACCTGGACCCAGAGGTGAGGATGCCACCTCAGCCTTGCCTCTGTCTCAACAACTCCCGCTGACCTGTCTCCCCCTTTGTGCCACAGCTAGAGTACTTCAGAAGCCAGGTCATCAAAGCCACTTTTGGAAAAGCAAAGCCGTTCCGTGACAAGCCTGTCACCGACCAGCAGGTTAGTGTGGCTCTCTGGCCACGTGACTCCTTCGCTTCTGTCTCCGGGATCTGGATGCCAGAGCCTAAGAGCATATGCTTCTGTTTTTGTTAGTGACACATATTTTTCACACTGTTGCTACACCATAAAGATTTGTTTTGATTTGAGGGGATTTCCTGGCTTTTGAAGTGAAAGCTGGTTAAACTCCCTTGAAATGTTACTTGGGAAATCAAGTCCAGCCAGGCAGACTCTTGTCTGGTGACCAGACACACTGATAGTCTGTGAGCAGAGGGGTGGCTTGGCTTTGGGCCACATACTTTGGTTGATTCCTTTCAAAGGGGAAGATAACCTCTGCAGTGTGGACAGGGCCTCTGTGCCTCTTGCCTTGTTATCTTTCTCAGCCCTTTGTGGCCAAGAGCAGATAAGAAACCAGAAGTGGAGGTTGGAGAGATGGCTCAGTCAATAAAGTGCTTGCCTTGCAAGCCTGAGGACTTGAGTTCAGTCCCTGAAACGCAACTAAAACACAAAGATCTGTGTGTCAGGATAGCATATGCTCGTAACCGCAAAGCTAGGGAGGCATAGCAAGCAGATCCCAGGGGCTCGGAGTTCTCTCACCAGCCAGTCTTAGCCAACTTGGCAAGTTCTAGGCCAGTGAGATATCCTGTCTTAATAAAACAAATGAGGAATGGTAACTAAAGTGTCCTCCAGCCTCCACCTACACACACACACACACACACACACACACACACACACACACACTGCATATTCTCTCACACGTGTACCTACACACATGTGCACTGTTGTACATACACACACATCACTCACACACAGAAAAAAAAAACCACAGGCAGTTACAGAAGAAGCTGGCCTGTGAAGGTACACAGAACACCTGGTTTAGTGTCAAGTCACTGGTACTCGTGTGGGAGGATCAGGAACAAATTCAGTGTGACAGTGACGTACAGACCTCCAGTTCCTGGGCCATGTGTTCTGGTGACAGAATGCCTGTTCCTTCAGAGCCAGGATCTCGGGGCCCTTATTCAGCCTCCTGAGCCAGGGCTTATGCAGCCAGTCTGCAGTCAGTCACTGCCTCACAGCGCACACTGCCCTGAGACACCTTCCTCTCTGTCCTCTGGCCAGCTGATAGAGAAGATCGTCCAGATCACCGAGGACAACCTCAGCTTCCATCAGAGGAAGTGGGCCCTGCAGAAGGATACTCACCTGAGCAACTCCAAGCAGGAGGAGACCATGGAGAACATGGAGAAACTGAGGACACTGCTGA